ATGTTTGTGCCGGGCAGGGAGAAGAGAGGTTCAGCCCAACCTAACTTTAAATTTAATTTCTTTTTTTAAACCGGGTTAGGATCAGGATCGGATCAACAATAACTGACTTCATATCATCATGTTTAACCCAGTCCAAATTTACAACTCTAGAATGGGGCAATGAATAGTGAAAGTAGAAGAGACGGTGAACATAACGACATCAAAATACATGTTAGGTGTGTACCTTGTCCACACAAATCAGGACATTGGAAATGCCAAGATTCTGGACCAGCATCTTGGACCACTTTTGAAGGGTGTATAAAATAATGCCCCCACCGGTCTTTTGTCATTAGCGATCAAGGGCACAAATAATGTGCACTTAATCAGTTATCCACATTAGGATTATGTCGTTTTGAAACAATTTATGTATGACATTTTCGATTTGATTAATTAAATTAATAAATGTTTTTCTTCGTTACATATTTTTTTGTTTTAATATACTGAGACCCATTATGTCGAATTAATTTGCAAGGTTTTCATAATTAAAAAAGAAAAAAGGATAAATACCTGTTAAATAGTACCGTTTTGAAGTTCGGCTCATAAATATTGGCTCATTAATTTTTAATCACATAACTTGATTAGTCAAAAGTGTATTAATCAATAAAAAATACAAAAAATTTAAATTCATAAATTTTAAGAATAAGTGTAACAATTTTCTCTAATTAAAAGCATTTTTGTTAATATAAATAAAATTAAGCATTTTATTAATGATAATTTCAATGATGGTCACATCTACTTTATCTGATTAACTAATTATGAGTTACTAATACTAAATGGAGTACCCATCGAATCATAAATAACATATTGCTTAGTGACTGCATTAATTAAAATCTTATATGCACTAAAGGTATTTAACTTTAGCTATTGTTTTAATCAATATGTTTTATGCACATAATATATTAATTGGGTAGAGTTTCTTAATTTTATTCTCTTGGTCTGTAGTAAAATTTGGTGAATACAAGTGACTAATTTGCAACATTTTTCAAAATTTGCAAATACCCGATAAAACCGATTAAAATGATTCAATTCAATTTGCAAAATGTGGATAACCAACGAATTACGGATTGGATTGCTGACATTTTCCACAAACCGATCAACCGCGCATCGGTTGTGAATTGAATGAAAAAAATATGTAAGAGAAAATTGTTAAACTCACTTTTAAAGTGTATAGGTCCAGATTTTTATCTTTTATTTTTTATTAATACATTTTAACTAATATAATTATTGATTAAAAAAGATATTAAATAAGAGTAAAAGATAAAAATCCATATTCATACACTCTAAGAAGTATTTGTCTCTTTTTTCTTAAACTGATCTAATTGTTCCGCATTATTATATATTGGGTCATTTACATAAATGCTGATTATGAGTGCCATGTTTTAAAAAAATACCTGCTTTCTTGTTTAGTTACCAAAATCTCTACTATCATATGTATTAAGACCATTTTATCCTTATATAGTGAAAAAAAAATTGATTAAAGAACAAAATTGATAAGAAAATGGATCTTGATATAGAGAAAATTAATTTTCCAATTTTGTTATTTACAAAGTCAACACCTAGTAGTAAATTATATTAGCATTTAATGAGAATATAGTAGTTTTAAACAAAGGAAGTTTTCTTTAATGAAAAAAAAAAGAAAGAAAGAAACTCTGACAAATAAAAAAAGGGAATGATACCATTATCCTCCGCCATTAATCCCCAAAAAAAAAAAAGAATACAATGAAAATCAGTAATTATTGTGAAAATGAATGCCAAATTAAAATTTCATATGAACGAACCAAGATATACAAAACCACAAAATTTTTTCTTTAAAATAATTTATCATTATAATACAGAATATATGTCTACACATAAATATGCAAAACCCAATATTATTTTCATTAGTTTAATGAAAAATTATTTTAAAAGCCAAACACAAAACTAAACGCATTTTTCATTAGACTACTGATAAAATCATTATGATAGGGAATATATGACTAAGATACAAAATATATGACTAAAACATATAAATATACAAACCCAAATACAATTTTCTTTAGACTAATGCTAAAATCATTAAGATAGAGAATATATGACTAATTCACATAAATATACAAAACCACAAATTAATTTCATTAGCATAATGTTAAAACAAACAAACAAACAAATAAAACACGCTCAACACACAAGAATTAACAAATAAAAAGGAATTACCTAAAGAAAAGGAAAAAAAAAAAAAACTCACACCTGCCTTTATGATGAAATGACCCCTATGTTTGAGAAAACCAAAAACGACAGCTCTGACATAACAAATCATGGGTGCGTTTGGAATTGGTTCCAAAATATTTTTGTTTTCTGTATGAAAATAGAAATGAAAACGCTTTCATTTTCATTTTGAAATTATTTCTGAAATGCGTTTGGTAGTTTTATTCAGAAATTGATTTCAGTTTTAAAAAAAATGAAACTGCGTTTGGTGGTTTAATTTTTAAAAACATGTAATAATATTTAAAATAATAATATATTAAATAAATAATATTATTAAATATATTAAATAATAATGTATTAAATAAATAATATTATTAAATATATTAAATAATAATTTATTAAATAAATAATATTATTAAATATATTAAATAATAACATATTAAATAAATATATTAAATAAACATCATTATATAAGACAAAAACGGTTTTAGAAAAGAGAGAAGAAAATAAATAAAAAAAATGAAATCCGTTTTCAGAAAACGAAAACGAGAAAATGAAAACAACTTTTTTTCGTTTTCAATTTTTCACAAAAGACAAAAATGGTTTTGTTTTTGTTTTTAAAAAACTTTTAGGCCAAACGAATTTTATGTTTCTGTTTTCATTTTTTAGTCTCGAAAAATGTGAAAAATAAAAATGAAAAATGAAACAAACAGGGCCCATGTGTTTCCCTGGTCTCATCAAAAAGTATAAACTAAAAGCTTGAGTCGGGTTTAGAATTGACTCGTGTTTTTATTTTTCACATTTTTTGAGAAAAAAAATAAAAATGTTTTTAAAATAGCATTTTACGCAATAAAGATAAAAAATGAAAATGAAAATGATTTTTTGAATTAGTGTAAAATGAGAGAAAAATGAAAAATGACTTTTAGTCGTTTTTTATTTTTTATTTTCGTTTTCTTCTCTTTCGAGCAGAGAGAGAAAGAGAGATATTAATGGATTTTTTTATACTGAAAACAATCTCTTGATAAAACTACCAAACGCATTTTCAAAAATGATTTATGTCTGAGATTGAAAACGTTTTCATTTTCATTTTCATACAAAAAATAAAATCATTTTAAAACGAGTTCCAAACGCACTCTTGGGGCCCGTTTAGTTTGTTGATTCGAGTTTTTAATTCGAGTTGAGATGTGATTTTATGTGAGAGTTTTTTACTGTAACAAAAAAGTCAGATGTGACCGTTTGTGAGAACTTTTTACTGTAGTAAAACTCAAATCAGCAAAATGAATGGTATTATATCGTAATACAACCCAGAAATGAAAAGGATGAAGTTGGTTGAGACACAAATCGACAAAAGTGGAAAATGGCCTTCAATTAACCAAGACGTGAAATGGACTCATCTGAAACGGCTGAATTCAAAAATGAAAAGAAGAGGGAAAAGCAAAACCAAGAAAAAAAACATATTAGCATGAATTAAAAGTGATTGAATACAAATAAATCAAATCCGTACAAAACTGGAAAGTAAATATATAAATTTTAATGAAAAACCAGAATTAAAAATGCAAAAATTAACCATAAAAGTAATAATGCCTAAAATACTCAATGAGGGCAAAACGGATTGTACAATAGTCGGCATTTTTACAAATACAACTTCTAAAATCGGATTTTATGTAATTACTTCTAATATATTAGATTTATGTTGATATGTGTAGTGCGAAAGGAATTTGATTTTTAGTTTATGTGAAATGATTGAGTTGATTATGAGACTAGTTTATGATTTATGATGATGAGTTTTAATTTTGTTGTCTAATTTTAAATGGCTACTTTAAAAATCAATCCAAAGTTTAAATTTTGAGCCTAAGTACTCAATCTAATTTGTATCTACACAAATAAGATTGCATTAAAGAGTTTTTTATACTCAAATTTTAAATTTATAATTGGCATATCAATTATAACATTACATTAGAAATGCTCTAAAGGGAAAAAAATATTAATTATTTTTCTTGCACCCGAGGTGTTCGTGAAACTTTTAAATTTAACAGGGTTTTGGTGGCTCTATAACCCTCTTTGCTGCCCTCACCAAACCAAAGTTTGAGTGAAAATTTAACTTTACACCTATAGAATTTCGACATAAAAATTTTGTATGACTTAACAATATTCTAATTGATATTATACGTACTAGATATTACACGTATAAGCGGGGCAGTTAAAGCAATGTCTAGCCTCAAAGCAGCCAAAATGGAGCAATGAATCAAAGAACAAGAGATGGTGAAAATACCAACATCAAAATATTTGTTAGGTGCAGACTTGTGGATTGTTCTGGTGAAGATGTCTGGATCTGCCAAGCTTATTAACCACCATGCTGGAGTAATCTAAAAATAATGAACTATCTTAAACACTCTTGGCTGAGTAGTGATCAAGGGCTATGTATAGCTAGGGGTGTTCGACCGATCCAATCCCGCATATTTCAGCTTAAACTACAACCCATCTGCACGTGTGGTTTTTACAAAAAAAATTCAACCAATCCAATATGCACTCAAACGATTATCTGCACCATGCGGATTGGATTGAATCAAATTAATTGGTTACTTAACAAGCTTTCGACACCCCTATCTACAGCATAGCAGACACAAATCAATCTATGCCTTCTAATTTTCGTGGTCCTTGTGAGATTGAACTGTTGTGCACTACAATGTAATCTGCTACTCGTTGGTATATCCAAGTTAGGCAGAAAGAACTCAATAAATCAATCATTGGCCTTTTTTCTTTTTCTTTTTTTTTTCTTTTTTTTTTTTTGTTGTGAGAGCAGCCTCTAATTCCAAACATATCACATATGAATGACATGCTAACCGACTGAATAGAGTTTCAAAATCAATTCTCTTGGTCTGTGTACAAGTAATATTTGGTGAATACAAGTGTCTCTATAGCATGATTCACAGAGAACTAAGGGAGAGAGGATACTTATGGCCAAGCATATAAAATGATACCTATAAGGAGTACATTATATGAGCAGTAAAGGGCTAAGAGGAGTAAAATACATCTAATGGTATTCACTATTCACATGAAGATATGAAGCTACGAGCCCAAAATAACAAAGTAATTTTAAGTCATCGTACTACGTTACCCAGCAAGCTGTTTGTTGATGGTGAACTCTGCTCACTGAACCATGGCTCTTGCACAGAAACAGGGGAGCTTTCCTGCTCCTCCTCCATAGAAGCCAGGCTATCGTCTATTCTTGGGGGAACAATCAATCTCTGACTCCCTATTCCTGCCTTCTTAGACACGGTACTACCCAGTGACTCGCTCCCATTATAAGGCGACGAACAAGAGGACACCACTGATGATGCAAATATGTTTTCCTCTAATGTTGCCCACCCACTCCGCCTGATCTGTTCAAGTTCCTCTGCCACTTCCATCATAGAAGGCCTTGTGTCACTGTGGAAAGCAAGGCATCTGAAGGCGAGTTCGGCCACTTTGTTAACAGAATAAAGTGTCCAAGCATCCCTGTGTGGTTCAATGAATGGATCTATTATGTCATCCACACAGCCCTTACCAATCCTATCAACAGCAAGTGCAGCCAAGTTCACCTCGCTTTGAGGTCTATTAAAGTCGACCACTTTCAGCGATGTTATTATCTCAACCAAAACTACTCCAAAACTATAGACATCACTTTTATCAGAGAGGTGGAAATTCTGATGGTATTGAGGGTCAACATAGCCCGGAGTTCCTTGTGGGGCTGTGGATATGTGTGACAACTCTGTCATGCCGAGTCTGGAAAGCCCAAAATCTGCTACTTTTGACTTGAAGTTGAAATCCAAGAGTATATTGCTGGATTTAATATCCCGGTGATAAATTGGTGGGTGCACAGCAGAGTGGAGATATGCTATAGCATTCGCAGTTTCGGCGGCAATGGTGAGCCGTGTGGTCCATGGAAGCCCTCTACCCCTCTGTCTTTGTAGATGCTGAGAAAGAGTTCCATTAGCCATGTATTCATATATAAGGATCTGTTCACCTTGCTCAATGCAGCAACCAAGAAGGCGCACCAGATTCGGGTGGCTCACAGAGGAGAGAAGCTTGATTTCGTTCAATACTTGGTCAATCCCGTCGTTATCTCTATGTTTGATCTTTTTAATGGCAACCCACTCATCATTATGGAGCTTCCCCGCATAAACCATACCAAAGGCTCCAGTTCCAAGCCTTTGACTTTCCGAGAATCCATTGGTGGCCTTTTCAATCTCTTTGTAGGGGTATAAAGCAACACTGGAAGTGCCTGCTGCTTCAGATAGAAGGCGCTTTGCACTCATCCGGTTTTTCAAACAAGTCGAGCGGTGTCGGACAAAGTGACAGAGGCAAGTTAGAAAGGCCATCAAAACAGCTCCAGATATAATCCCTGAAATCCAACCAATGGGGCACATAGTGTCATCTGAAAGGTGAAGTGTAAACAGAAAGACATCTAGAATGTAATATTTTAGTCATAGTCAACATCTCAGCCGTGGCTGTCAAGGTTGAATTATAACCCCTGTCAACTTTGAAACAAATGAGACCATTTCGACACCAAATGGCCTCTGAAAGAAATGAAATCAAAGCATTTCAAATGAACAGAATCATCATGGAGGGCCTGTGTCAGAGAGCTTCTTACAAGCTGCTTTTGGCTTCCAGACTACAAAAGCTGCTTCTGAAAGTGTTTAGATAATCTGTCAAAAATGCCTCAGCTTTTCAAAAGAGCTTCCAGTCAAAGGCACAAATGTGAGGCTTCTAAAAAAAAGCACTTCTGAATAAACTTCAAAATTTGCACTAGAGTTTCATTAAGGCATTCTGAACAATATTCCAACACTTTTAATACTTGTTAGCAAATTTAAAAAATGTTTTGACCCATTAAGCTCTCTTTTATTCCACACACTTATTGAAAAGACATAGCTTTTATTTCTCTTCTTCTACTAACTAAAAGCAAAAACAAAAGCTCCGCCAAACGGGTCCAGAGAACTTATGAACAACGTAGTGTAAGGAAAAGAATGTTAATTTAACCTCAAAAAGATAGAATAGAAAAAACGACTCAAAAGAAATATTTAGGAACTAGAGAGAACCTTGATGTACTAGTCAAAAACAATGGGAAATCTAAAAAAGAAAATCATTAAAAAAAAAAAAAGGAAAAACAAAAACAAACAACAAAAGAAAGTTTACCTATAACAAGAACAACAACTTTACTCATTCCACCACATTTGCCAGACAAGTACTTTCGAGGATTGCAGTCTGAATCTGATGAGACGCCAATGGGAAAGATGATTAGCATAAAATAGCAGAATTGAAATTACAAATTTCAAGATTTAATTTGGTTGCTCAAGCATGGCAAAAGAAAATGCATATCTGAACGTTCTCCCATACATTAACAAAATCTTGCTTTTCTGTCTGGCTACTTTCCAACAAGAACATATCATTTTTAAAACACAAGCATGCATATGCACACAAATTCCTACTGAAGAATTCATATCCATCATGAAACAAGGTGTATAATACAAGCACCTATTTAATACACATATAATCAGCTCAATCGTTTTAGTGACAAATGTAGATACAACAAAGTTCATTTCCGTTGACTTTGTTGAAATAAAGTAATTAAGGGCCCGTTTAGTTCGCTGATTTGAGTTTTTAATTCGAGTTGAGATGTGACTTTATGTGAGAACTTTTTACTGTAACAAAAAAGTTAGATGTGATTGTTTGTGAGAGCTTTTTACTGTAGCAAAACTCGAATTCTAAACTCGAATCAACGAAATGAACGAGGCTGCTCTAGGCATATGCAAAACCGGATAACTCTAGAATAAATTGGGGAAATTTGCTTAAACTTCTAACATTTGACTTTTGAAGATATCTTAAATGCATTTTCAACTCCTCATGGGATTAATAAATTGATTTCAAATTCAAAGCTTGACAGGATCTTATATTCTCAGCAGGTACAATCCTTCTTTAATCATGACTAAAATTGCTAAAATCTATATCATCCAGTAAACATTCAGCTTTCAGGCGTAAGAAAATAAGTTTCAAATGGGCTAGTAACCTGACATTGTCATGACTTATTCAAATGTACCAAATGCCCATAAAATTAAACCATGACATAACTATCAAACATCAATTGCCAATCCTAAATGACGAAATGCGGTGCCTTTTTCTGAACTACATGGATTCTTATGCCTCTCTCTAATTCTCAGATTCTTTTTTTTTTTTTTCCCTTTTTTTGACAATTAATTCTCAGAATTCATCTCAAGGTAAATAGGCAAGTTTTTTTTTTTTTTTTTTTTTTTCTTTCGAGTAAATATTCCAATAGGACAACGCATAAAAGAGACATCTACAGTTTCCAATTTTAAGGTGACAATTTGGTCAAAGGTCGTTAATGATGAAAACACTTGTGCACAAAATAACCTTTATCATCAAAATAGAATAAATCCATGAAACTCAGCAAAGTTAATAATAAGGAAGAAAAATCAAAACAATTATTATATGTTGTTTTCTAACTGGCCAAAAGACAAAAAAAACCCACCAAACCGTATACTTTTCCTTTCCCAATAATTTCCATCGTCAAATGCAATTATGCCATCCACCAAAAGAAAAAAAAAAAGTAATAGCTTTAAAAAAAACAAAAAAAAAAAGAGGAATAATTCAATAAGGTCCTTAAAAAAATTCTAAAAATAAAGGCACAATGTTGTACCAGAGTGACTCACCTTTCCAGCAACCGGAGCCGCCGCGACTGCGGGCGAATCCGTCGCCGTTAAAATCCTTCGGACAATAGCACCGGAACCCTAATTTCCCGCCGGGAAGAGTGACGTTAGCACAAGTAGCGTTCGCATGGCAGAACTCAGCGCGTTTGTTTCTACACAATCCGTTGAGCCACCAACCTAATTCAAGTCTCTGAAACTCAAGCGAGTACGGCGAGTCGCCGCCGGAATTGACCGCGATCGAGGTAAACAACGACTTGCACGAGGTGTTGTTCACCTCCGCGAAGTCCATAATATCCGCCGCGGCGGCGGAATCCTGAGAGAAGCAGTTGAGCGAAGAATCGTTCTTGTTCGAAGCCGAAGTGCTGCAATTGTCCTCCAATCTGAGCCTCTTCTCGACGACGCTCATCGGAACGAGGCAGCCATTGAGCTTCTTTGACTCGCAGTCATGGAGGAGAAGACTGTTCTCCCAGGTCAGCCCATAGTTCCGACCAAACAGCGGCTTGATCGACTCGATCGGACGGTCGCATTTGGCCGACAGATTGACGAACACGCTGCTCGCCGTGAAGTTCTGAACCACGAACTCGCCGATTTTGGTCTCGCCGAATGAGGAGCAGTTCAATCGAATTTCGCAGCCATCGGAGAAGCCGAACGGAAACGGAACTGTGTTCGGTGATTTCCCGTTTCCACTAGGGCATGACCTGTCGCAGATTGTTGAGCTGCGAGCTTCCATTGAAGAAGAAGAAACAAGAATTGCGATGAAGAGGATGAAAATGATGAGAGAGAAATTTCTTCCGTGGGAAAATGGAATCATTCTCGGGAAACAAACAGGCTCAAGTCATCACCTTTCTGCAACAAGTTACAAAACCAACCAAAAAGGTTTATGGATTTTGGGTTTTTTTTTTTTTTTTTTTTTTTTTTTTTTTTTAAATTTTTTTTTTTTTTTTTTTTTTTTTTTTTTTTTAAAGCTCCGTTTCAACAAAATTTTGAGGAATTCAAAGCTGAAAATTGATGACGATACCGTTGGGAGGCCATCTATCTCAATAAATGCTTTTCAAGTAAATAAATTAGCTAGCTTTGAATTTATTTAATAGAAATAACGAATTTAATGAGTTTTTTTTTTTTTTTTACCTGTGGAATTTCTTGAGACTTTTATTAATTCTCTCTGCCACTTCCAATATGTAAAGCAATTAACTTCTTCTTCTTCTTCTTCTTCCCCTGTTCTTTGCATTTCAGTTTTTCAAGTTCTTCTTCTTCTTCTTCTTCTTCCCTGCAAGCGTATATTTTTGCATAGAAGAAACTTTTGGTTATTTTCTATTTTTCTTGTTCATCCAAAACACAAAAATAATTGAAAGGAAAAAAAGAAAAAATTTTCTGTCTTTTGGGTTCTGGGAAGAAAAGAAAAAAGCCGTCTCTTTTGCACTCCTCCTATGCCACTTCACAAAAACGTTAAAATATATGTTAGTGGAAGAAGGAATTATCCTTCTTTTTTATTTTTTATTTTTTTCGTTTCTTCCTTTTTATATTTTCTGATGGAGTGTTCTAGTACAAAAAGGCCCTTGTAGAGAGAGAAAATTACTCGCGAGATTTTCAAGTCAGCTATCAAATTCACTAATTTAAATTTTTAATTAATATTACTTTATATAAAAATATTTTAGTATAATAAAAAAATAAATAAAATCTATTAAATTGATTGACTTTGTCCTTGCAGAATATGAATATCAAGGTCATTTTTTTTTTTTCACTTTTTAGGTGGTGAGACCTTGTAAAAACTTATCATTCAATACTTTTATTTGATCGTTTGATTATTTTTTTAAAAATTAAATTTATAAAGAAAATAATTTTATGTGACGTGTTATAAATTTTTAATATAAATTTATATAAATTTAAGTATTAAGAATAATCTATCATTTAAAACAATGTCCCACTTCTGTCAGTGAGTTTTGAAGAACTCGCTTATAGGGGTTCTTTTTTTTCCTGGTTTTTTTTTTTTTTTTTTGAAAGTTTGTTTCTTTTTTCAATCAAAGATTTGCTGAATGAGAAAATTGTGGAAGCAAACTTTATGGGGTCCCACTTTAGTTTCCCAAAAATTTCAAATAACTGTTTGGCATGCATAACATAAGCCTGTTTAGATTTTTCTTCTCATGTTTTAAGGAGGCACTGATTTAATCTGTATGGCTGTGTTTTTCAGGTTTTGTTTACTGTTTATTTGATGTTTTTACTTAGAAAAGGTCAAAAAAATCAAGTTACTTGTGATTGTGGTTGAATTGATTCTTTTCATCTTTTGTGTTCATGTCTTCATGATTGTGAGATCATGGATTTGGGACATTGCAACTCGTTATAAAGCATAGGAACTAAAAAGACTAACTCACATACTTAAAAAAAAAAAAAATGAAAAAAAAAAGGTAGTTTCTGCTATGGGTTTTAAAAAAAAAAAATTCAACTATCAAAATTGTATCACAACTATCTATATTGTATATTTTTTTAATCTAATTTAATTTTAATTAAATTTAACAATTATAACTGGCTCTATTGATAAATAGACTCGATTAAGAAACTCCAAAAAAAAAAATAAATAATAAATATAAAAATAACCGTCATTAGACTTATTAAAAAGAAGCTCAATACTGATTTGGCTAGCTAGCATTTGGCTGTTGCGCATTTTTTGACTAAAAAGCATTATTAGATTTGTCCAAGTCAGATTAGCATTTTCTTTTCTAATACATAATTTTCCTTGTGGATCGACTTTTTCCTTTGATCAAAAAGCAACTTCAAGAACCTTTGTAAGCGCGTTATCTTTTTAACGCGTTTTTAAACGTTAAATCCCAATATCCCATCAAAATTATATCAAATATGTAAAACTAACCAAATTAGATAAAGATTAAGGGACTGTTTTTTTATTATTTTTTAGTTAAGTGACTTGAGTGTAGTTACAATTAATTTTGAGTTAAGCAATTTTGATAAGTTGTGATAAGGATTGCAGTAGAAGATATGTCTTGGGTTTGAATTTAAAAAAAAAAGGATGTTTAATATTTGAATTGCAATGAAAATAAAAGAGTGGTGTATGAGTCCAAGTGCAAATGCGGATTTAGTTTGATATATGTAATTCACTAGATGATTTGATTAAGTCAAAATCCGGTTATGATAAGGTTTGAATACATTGAGATATATTTTAAAGCCTTTCCAAACGTGTATTGGATAAAGATTGTATGGTGACAGAGCAGAGAAAATAAGGCATGATATTGAGTTCAGATTTTAAAGTGAAGATCAAATAGTGTTGCAACAAGTCGTAGAATAGATTATTCGTCAGTTTGAATTTTGAGTAAGTTTGTAGATAAACGTATATCACTCTATAAATAGGACTCAAGACCATTCATTTTGTGGGCTTCCCGGGTTTTCACGCATAATATTTTGAGAAGTTCCCATTAACGTTCTTCGGGAGAAGAATTTGTAATCTTCGGGAGAAAACGATTTGAAGAGTTGAAGGGAGTTCAACCGTTTATTATTCTTTGGGAGAAGAAGTTGAAGCTTTTGGGAGAGAGCGACCTTCCAGACAAAGGGATTTCACCGTGTAGTTTTTGAAGATGAGTGGTACTCGTTGAATCAGGCGATCTAGTTAATTCTACACGGCGGTGACAAAATCAAAGAGGGAGTCTTTATTTGTATAAGTCCAATTGGTTTTTGTAATCGTTGAGAATTAGTAGATGATTCAATGTATGGGCGTGACTCTGCAAATGTAAGTGGTTACCGAAACGTGATACCAATTCCTTGTGCCTATTTATTTATTGCCTTCATAATCTAGTCATTTAGTTCGGTAAAATAATTGCTAAAAACGGATCTAAGAGTTTTATCTAATTAAGGCATCGATATTTCCACCATGTGGTTTTACCATTTTCTTTGTAATAATGGATATGGTTCTTGTTGGATATTTAAATCCTTGTTCCACATTTCAGGAATCATCACACTAAATTACTAAGAAAATATGTTAGAACAAATACCTGTCTCCATTGGTGCAGCCTTAATCTCCAGTAGAATTCTCTAAGACAATGAGCACGAATGTTATTGCCTTCCTTAGCCAAATCTCCTTAGTTCCTTAATGGGGTGTTTTCTCTCTAAATTGGGAAGAATGAAAACTGCCGAATGATTTGACGTATTGTGGACTATAACCTAAGTTTATTTATATATTGTCTCATTAGGCTCCCATTAAACCTAATTGGGTCAATATGGGTATCCACTCATTCAACTCATACCCTGTTATGAGACTATTTGGGCTTTCCATAATTAGATCAATTAATTAGCCCAATTAATTAAATAGGTTATTATAATTATTGAATAAATATGTGGCCCACAATATAAGAAACCCACGTTTCCTAACAATCTCTCACTTGGGCTACATATGATTCCTGAAATAATTATATCATACAAAATTCCTTAGGCGCGCAACCATATGTTATTTATCCTTAGTCTCCACTTAAGATTCAATCTGGTACATCTCCTATATTAGCATGAGATCATGACGGCTTTTGTCACCCTCAAATGCAACTAAACCTCCCATGGTCACCATACCAACATATTTAATGACATAGATCGAGTATGGATGAGTGGCATGGAAATACATGCAATGTGATCTCTAACATGCCAATTTCTAACTGGTCCTGCTTTATTCTTTAAGAGATCAATCCGTAATTTTCAAAACATAATGCAAGATTGCAAACAAAAAATTAACACATTCAGATGGAAAATTGTAAAACTGTAAATCCATCTTCTTTATTTTGCAGAAAATAAACAAATAAATGTTTATGTCATAGAATATCAAAAATTAAAACCAACTCCCACTAAACCATAGTATCCTCAAATAAAATAACACTCATATGAGCAGTGTGCTCGTCAAAGGCCTTGGGTGTTAAGCCGTAGGTTAGCAGATCCGCAAGCATTGAGTTTGTCTCGATGTGTTCTATCCAAATCTGACCACTCTGAACTCTTTCTTTAACAACAAGAAACTTGATGTCTATATGCTTCGATTTCGTAGAGCTTTTGTTGTTATTATAATATAGCACTATCGATTTATTGTCACAAAATATCTTTAACGACCTCTCAATACCATTGACCACACGCAGCCCCGTGACAAAGTTTCACAGCCACATACCATGATTAGATGCCTCATAACAGGCTATGAACTCTGCAGCCATGGTAGAAGAAGCTATGAGTGTCTGCTTGACACTCTTCCAAGAAATAGCTCCTCCTGCCAACATGTAAACATAGCATGACGTGGATCGCTTACTGTCTTGGCATCCAGCAAAATCAGAATCAGAACACCCGATGATCTCTAGTCTATCTGATATCCGATAAGTGAGCATGTAATCCTTTGTTCTCTTCAAATAGTGCATAACTCGTTTGGCTGCTTTCCAATGATCCACTGCTGGTTTACTTAAATGCTATGTCGGGACGTGATTAACGCCCAAAAGTGATATTCACAAGCAGTCAATTATAGCACAGAAGGGCGGTCGTATCCACAGAGAGATAACAAAATAACAAGAAAGACTAATAGAATAAGAGCGTTAGAGAAAATTGAATTAAGGAAAAATGAGAATTTTTGAGATTTTTGTTGCAAATAAAATAAAAAGGAGAAAAGATTTGTGTTGAAGAAAACGGTAAGGTGTCGAGAATCCCTAATGCTTCGTTCACCAATTTAAGTTTTGATTCACAAAATAAAAGAACTGAATAGATTAAATCTCTATGTTGACTCCGGAAATATTATTATTACAAGTTATCTAAAATCGACAATATATCAATATGACAATATTGCAGTAAAAGACAATTTGCAAAATAATTTGAATAACAAAACATTGCATGACAGAATTACATAAGAAAAGCGTGACTGAACTTATATAAAAATTGGCACACAATATTTTGAAAAGTAATAGAAAAATAGATGAGATTTAATTCTTTCAGATGTTGAACTTTACAGCACAAGGAATCAAAACCCCGAATTGGGTCACTCAACAGAAGTTCATCTCTAACCTCACCAAGAAAACTCTAGCCTATCTTGCAAAACATTCTCACAAGTTCTAAAGAGAAAATATGAGACTTACAGTAAGACGACAGAAAACTAAATATTCAAAAGCTCCCTCAAACCTTAGGCCAACCCCTCTATTTATAGTGTTCAGAGGTTGCCTATCAAATAAGGAAATAAATTGTAAAACTAGAAAATTACAAAAGAAAAGGAAACAAAATAAAATTACATATAAATTAGGAGAAATCACATATTTGATTTGGAGAAGAAATCTGGTAATTAGCTCTGATTTTTGGGGAAGGAATTCGGATTCATCTCAAAGGAAACACGTGTCGAAGCTTGATTGGAGGAAAAGGAGTCAGCCTGCCACGTGGCGCGCGCGGAGTGGAGGAAAAGAGCTGGCCGTTGGAGACAGCTGGGACCCGCTCGGACAACTGGCGCGTGCAGAAG